CAGTTCACATCAGTAGCTCAGGATTCCTTCCTTCCCTCTGATTAAAAGACAAAGGTAAAGCCTTGCTGAATAGGAGACACCCTCTTCTCCAATTAGCAAAAACTGCAGGAATGAGAAATACCTTGAAAGAGGCCACTCCTGGGTCGGAGATGCCTGGCGGGTGCTCGCCAGTGCCATAACCCGCATAGCTCATCACCCACGGCTCATGGAAGGTCACCCACAGCTTCACACGATCCCCAAAAGTGGAGAAGCAGAAGGCCGCATAGTCCAGGAAGGCATCTACCATGCTCTCGTTCTGCCACCCACCGGCATCCTGCAGGGCCTGGGGCAGGTCCCAGTGGAACAGCGTCACCATGGGTTCGATGTGAGAGTCCAGCAGGTGGTCGATGAGCTTATTGTAGTAGGCAACGCCACGGGGATTGAGGCTGCCTCTAAGCCCGGTGGGGAAGATCCGGGACCAGGAGATGGAAAACTTGTAGACTTGAGCCCGAAGGCCACGAAGCAGGGCCACGTCAGAGGCCACCTTGTAGTAACTGTCACTGGACACTTGTGGTGTTTCTTGGCCCGTGGTGGTTTCCTGCTGGCCCTGTCGATCCCAGATGCTTGGTCCCCTTCCACCCTCAGCAAAGCCTCCTTCAATGTTCAAGGCTCCCGTGGAGACGCCCCAGAGAAAGCCTTTGGGGAAAATGTCCCACAGGAAAGCATCCCTCTGTGCTTGGGACTGCCTTGCAAATGTTTCCCAGACCCGCTGGTAGGCAGAGGCAGGGGGAGAAGGGCCAACAGCTGCTTCATGGGCTTGCTGCTGGTCAGCCTGAGGCATCAGGGAGTTGGTCAGAGAACAATACCCATTGCTGTAGGACCAAAATGACATAATTAATAACCATACAAGTCCCAATAGGCACATCATGATAAGTGGAGAGAAGACTGGTGTTGGCAACTATTTCATCTCGCTTGGCTCCACAATCAACATCCTTGGCACCAGCAGTCAAGAAATCAGAAAATGGGGAAGGGGGTGGGCAGGGAGAAAAGTGCAACTGGAATGCAAATGAAATGACTGGAAACCCTAAGTCTTTCATTAAAATTAATTTAAGAGAGAGAGAAAGAGAAAGAATAAAAAAAAAGAAATTAGAAGATGTGTTGCTTTGGGTAAGTCTGTTGCCAAGGAACTCTCTAAGGTATTGAGGAGTAATGATGTAAGCTTAAAGACTAAGGTGTACTGGATTCAAGTCATGATCTTTTCAGTTACTTGTTATGCATCTGAAAGTTGGACAATGACTAAGGAAGAATAATCAATGCCTTTGAGTTGTGGGGCTGGAAAAAAGGACTAAATATTCACAGACTTCCAAAAGAACAAGCAAATATGTCTTGGAGAAAATGTAACCAGAGTAGCCCTTAGAGGCAAGGATGGTGAAGCTTCATCTCACATATTTTGGGCACATGGTTAAGAGGAGTCAGGTCTTGGAAAAGAACATCATGCTCGGAAAGGTACGGGGTCAGCAAAGAAAGAAAGACCCTCCATGAGTTGGATTGGCACAGCAACTGTAACGGTGGCTCAAGTGTGTCAGCTGACGAGGATGGCAGAGGGTAGGACTGGGTTCACTGGGTCACTGTGAGATCAATGCCAATGGGTTTCATCTCTACAGACCCCCAAATCACTGGCTTTATAAAATGAGGTTGTTGTTGTTTGCCATGGAGTCGGAAGTGACCCGTAGCTGATCCTCCAGTGGGTTTTTAGCGGCAGTAAATAACACGAGAGGAGACTGCCTGTCCTTTTCTCGAGGTGGTGGATTCGAACTGGGGCCTTCAGGATTGCAGCACAGCTTCTTACCAGTAGGCCACCACAGAACTCCAATGAGGTATCAGACACCTAACCAGAGTCCAGCACGCACTAAGGAAGGAGTCCTGCCTGGAGGGTAGGGAGCTGCCCCATTGCTGACCATAGCACCCAGAAGTGCACCTGAGGTGCAGGCCAAGGGCTAACCTTGGGATGTTTCCTCTCAGCCCCTCTGGATAACCATTCACATCTGGAGACGGCTAACCCTCCTTTTTGATAAGACATTGTTCTCTAAAGACTAACTTCCTGAAAACCTGGTCTGAAGCAAAACCAGTTCACATCAGTTCCTGTAACAGAAACAGCAATAGTTGCTGAAAGCTGACCTTCCTGAACAAGAAGTAAAGCTCTCTATCAGACAGGGGAATCGAACTGGAGAACCTTGCCCCACAGCACATGTGCACTATCTCATGATAAAGGATGTCTGGTACAGCATCCGTTTCGGAGTATGAGCTGAGCATGCACTTAATTATCATAATCCTTCATACACGGGCCGTATCTTAGAATGTCCCACCTTCCCTTATGAATAAACACGAGCCTCCTTTCCACATAAATCTTTACAAACCAAACTTTTTTTTTTGTTTGGTGGGTCATGGGGTAGCATTGATTCAGCCCTCCACACCTCCTTTTGCAAAGTACGTTCCTGATAATTATCTTTCTTCTCTTGCATGGATTCCTGCTCCACTCTGCTTACTTAACAGGAAGAAGAACCCAAATTTAAGGAGTGACACAACCATGGGAAAGGGTGCTAGTATATCTTATGTTGAGAAAGGAGCATATATACGAGAAGGAGGAGGTTGAATACGAGAGGCTCTGATGTCCTGTCCCAGGATGGTCAGGAGGCAGGGATGATGAACAAGCTGAGCTGGCTCCAGGCAGGACTGGTCTAAATGGCAGAGAGGCAGACACCTGACCTCTCTGTATCTCACATCCACCAAATGCCCACAGGTTGCCATGGGGACTAAAGGCATTAGTCTACTGAGTACAAACAAGTACCTCCTCATTGTTGTAATGATGATGACGAGGACTTCAGCTACACACAGAAAACAAGGATCTACCAACTCAAGCTGTTTGCACACTCACTCACTGCCTGCCTGAGCCATAGCTGGCCCTCTGTGGTGGGTTACTGGAGACGGTCAATCACACAGGAGGTGACTACCTATCCTTCTCCCTCGAGTGACTGGTGGATTGGAACTGCTGAGGACCCCTCTGGGTTAGCAGCGCAACTCACTGCAGACTAAGCCAGCAGAAGCCCCTTGTTGAAATGCAGAAGGAGCCGCTGAGGTGCAGGAACTCCTCAAGCACATACTGGAGGCCCTGCTGACAGGGACAAGCCTCTGTGGAGTCAGGCCCTTCAGGGGGTGCCCTCCACATCTGAGCACTTCCTGTTTCCTCATTGCCTCATGCACTTGTGCTAAAGCAGAGGTGAGGAGGGTGAGGATTACAGTCATGGGTTATCCAAACCTATGCAGGATCAGAATACAGGCAGGAAGGCAAAAGGTACCCGCTTGGGGCCCAGCTTCTGCCCATGGCCCTGAGCCCAATCCCTCACTCTCATCCGCCCCTACCGCTCCTGACCCAGCTCTGTCCTCCAGACCCGGAAGGAGAGGTTCGAGGGGTAAACAAACCACCCCAGGGTAGATCAGCAGGTGCTCTGGTGGCTTGGTGGGTTAAATGCTGGGCTAACTGAAAAGCAGAGAGTTTGAACCTGCCAGTAGCTTCACATGTCAAAGAAGGAAGATGGGCTCTCTCTCCTTGGTCAGGGTTACAGGTTAGAAATCCCATGGGCACAGTCATGCCTGTAACCAGCTCCACAGCAGCTCGTCTGGTTTGGGCTGGGGCAGAGCTTGGATTAGACTCCACCACCTCCAGAGAAGGATGGACAATCTCCTCTCTTGTTATTTACTGCCTCTGAAAACCCACTGGAGGATCAGCTATGGGACACTTCTGACTCCAAGGCACACAACAACCACCACCTCTTTTTATAGAGTCAGTTTTATAGAGTTGGGTTAGAGGTGGTGGATCTGAGAGCCTGGGGTTTGTCTAACTTGACAACAACGTAGCAACTTGTCCTCTCAAGCTCTGTGAGCAATCTTCCTAGTACCACTCATTTAGTCAACTTCTCAGGGCAACCCTTTATTGCCCTGGGCAACTCCTTCTGAGGTCTCGGGCCTGTGTGTCTCCTGTAACACTGTGTTAGATATTTAAGATTCTCAAGGGGAAAGCTGTGATATTGTCTCTGAACCCCCACTAACGGGCCCCCTCACCTGAGGAATGACCCCACTGTCAGTATTGGACCTTGGCTTTCAACAAAGCACTACCAGGTCGAAGTATTATTGAGATCACTTACATCATCTGCTGGTCTTGTAATCTTTGATCTCTCAAAGGAGTTATTATTATGACTGTCTAGATTCTGTTTTCAGTAAAGACCCAAGTCCAGTCCTCTCTGACTGACTCCAAGATTGGTCATGGGTTAGTTCTGACCGATCTTATCCTCACAGTGTTTACACCCCCAAACAGAGCGTGACATATAGTTGTGACTGTTGATTTGAACTAGTGACTTGAAAAGAACTGGGAAAATCAAATAGGAGAAGGAGGATATGGCTTCGGAGAGCCAAAGGCTAAAAAAGGCTGGGGCTAAACGGTACATGTGGTAGTGACAACAGAAGTCTTATGACCTGGGCCAGAGCTGTGCTCGAAAGTTCTAAAGTGAATGACAAGGATGGTGCTGGCAAAGTTCTGAGAAGTCAGAAGATCACATTCCTGGCTTTGTTCTGCTTTGACCACGGCACATGACCTCGCATGGAGCCCTCAGGACTCTGGGAAATTCCATTGAGTCTTTCCATACCATCCTTTCCTTGTCCACAGAGCAGCACGCTGGAGTGTGTGTGTGTGTGTGTGTGTGTGTGTGTGTGTGTTATAATTATAAGAATATTCTCAAATCTGCTCTAATTTATTATTATTTTCGAAGTAAACAATTGACAAATGTTGCTCCATTAGTCATTTGGTGAGAAATTCTTTGTAGTCCCCCACCCCCAAGGACTGGAATCCCTGCCGTGTTGGGCTCTCCACCACGCCAACAGCTGGCTTTCCTGTCAGGTTGTCTTCTTGTGGGCTGGACACCTCACAGTCTGCATTCAGGAAACAGGTGCAGAAAACTCACTTCACTTACTCAGAGGACGTACCTCAGTGGGACAGGCTGATCTCTACCACCCTACTCGCTCTCCACAAGCTCTCCCTGCCTCTGACAAGACCTCACATCCTGCCCTGCTTGGGGGTGAATTGTAGGGCTGCCCAGAGGTGAAATGCCCCAAATAGGACCCTGAGTGAGACTCAGAAAGAGGAGTTCTCTCTGCTCTAAATCAGTCTCTCATTCATCCACAACAAGCCGGCTGCCCCAAAGAAGGATAATCACAGGGCCATGAGATTAGGTATGTGAAAGGACAGCGGGCAATTCACTAATACTAGTCATTAATATTAACAGTTAAACATAAAAATCCAACATTACCTTTCCTTGGAATTTGAACAGTCCAGGAATGCACCAACGTCAAATCCAATGATGAATACTTGGTCTTTATTTATGGCTGGAAGAGAGAAAGTTCAACTTCACTTGAGGCCCAACCCAGATCCCGCATACCTGTGGTCAAGGTTGGCCTCACTTCCATAGCACACAAAGATTCAGAGCTGGGGCCTCTTAAAGATGCTGTTTCCTTCAAGGGCTAAAGCTAGAGGGCAAAAGGGTTTGTCTACCCAGTCATAACTTAGAGAAATATGTTTCAAACCTGAGTGTCTCAGTGCCACCTGGAAGGCTTGCTCAAACACAGGTGACTGGCTCCTACTGCCAGAGTTTCAGCTTCAGTAAAACTGGGTCTGGGGTCAGCACTGTGTGTTCCTAACAAATTTTCAAGGTGCTGTTAATGCTGTTGGTCAGGGGAATACAATTTGAAGAACCCTTGATTTAGAAAACCTCAAACATCAGAAAGGTTGGTCAGGGCTAAGGTTAATAAGAGGTATCTATGGGTGCTCGCTTCGGCAGCACATATACTAAAATTGGAACGATACAGAGAAGATTAGCATGGCCCCTGCGCAAGGATGACACACAAATTCGTGAAGCGTTCCATATTTTCAACCCTGAAATGAACCAGTCTCTAACGAAGGCTGACTCCTAACTCCTTTCACCTACAAATTTCGTCTTTGGATACAAACCTAAGTGGATAGTCCTTGGCCGAGGGACTGTTTCAAAAGAGGCAGGGAGAAGAAGAGAAAAGGGGAAAAAAAAAAAAGAGGTATCTATGGACAGGCTATGTGACATCCTGAAGTCCAGCCCAGAGGGTGGAAAGTGGTTAAAGTTGTGGAAAGGGCACAACAAACTTAAGCTTCCCTCTGGGACCTTTCAGGTGATGGGACTGAAGATCAGGACACCCAAGAATTTCTCCAGGGGGTTCCCCCTTTCCCCTTCCTTCAGATGTTCCAGGATTTAGGCCTCCAGCCCCAGACATTAACAGACTTTACTCCTTCTATAACTCAATTGTCATAGTTTGTGGTCAACCAGTAAGCCTCCGTTGTAAGAATCTGAGCTAAGAGGCCCTGAAAATATGGCTGTGAGCTAGCTGAACGTCCCTTGTGTCTTGATCAAAGGACCAGGACCAGTTGAGGCGAATGAAGCAGAACCTAAGTGCCAGGCATCTGCAGATGAATCCTCTCCTTCTTGGAACACTGGGAACTCATGGCAAGGGACCATCGGTGGGAAGACAGGACACTGAGCCTCTTGTGGAGTTGGCTCTCAAACCGATCCTCCTTCCTGCCTCTCCCAGACTCCACCATTGGAGCCCCAGACTGTCAAGAGTGTTTCCCACCTCGCCAGCACACCATGCACCACTGAAACCCCGCCTACCTCATCCACTCACCTGCAGAGAGGGAGAACAGTGTCTCAGCAGGGTTCTGCCTGGAGGAGGGGCAGTCCTGGAGCTTCAGGGCGAAGATGAAAACTTTCACATTGGGCCCAATGGTCTGAAAAAGCCAAAGGCCAACAAATGAGTTGGAGCTGTCCAAAGTCCACCTTCTGAACAGGGACAGAGGTCCAAGGTGACAAGCTAAGAACATTCAATCTAGATTGAGAAATGGCCTCCAAGCCGCTCATGTATAAATGGAACTGACTGCAGGCTTGGAGGAAGAATACATCAGACCTTTCAATAACATAGGCCATCTTAATTGCCCTCACTCACAAAGAGACATAATCACCTATTCATGTTCTTATGGATACCAGACATCTTTATCTCGGCTTTAATTTTATTTTTTTTAATTTAAACTTTTAAAGGTTCTAAGACACCACCTTCACAGTAATTACGGCAGTGGCTTCAACATAATCCAATTTGGCGGTGGTGGGGAAGCCATACAAAGGAAATAGAATTAGCTAGGAATCGATAACTTTTGAAGCTAGTGATGTCTTCAGAGCAGTTCATTATAGTTTTCTATCTCGTCAGAACAGAGCAAGGGAACAATGCATAGTTCAAAATTGGGAAGGGCGTATGCCAGGGATGCATCCTATCTCCATACCTTTTCAACCTATATGCAGAACAGATTATTTGGGAGGTTGGACTCTATGAGGAGAAATGTGGGGTCAAGATTGGTGGACGATTTACCAACAATCTGTGTTATGCAGATGACACAACCCTGATTGCTGAAACTGAAGAGGCACTGAAGCACCTGCTGCAGAGGGTCAAGGACTGCAGCCTACAATATGGATTGAGGCTCAATGTCAAGAAGACAAAGATTCTCACCACTGGACCAATTGGCAGCATCAGGATAGATGGTGAAGAGATTGAGATTGTACACAGCTTTAGTTTGCTTGGCTCCACAGTCAACACTCTTTTTTTTTCTTGTAGAGTTCATATTGTTTTTATTTATTTATTCTTTTTATGTGTGTACCATCAAATTGGATCTGACTGGTACAGGAGGCGATTGTTCCTCCTTCTTCAGCAGAGCATCTGGTGGATTTGAACCACAGTCAACACTCTTGGCACCAGTAGCCAGGAAATTAAAAGGTGCATTGTGATTGGAAAGTCTGCTGTTAGGGACCTCTCCAAAGTACTGAAGAGCAATGGTGTCTCTCTGGAGACTCAGGTGTGTCTGATACAGGCCATGGTCTTCACAATCACTTGTCCTGGAAAGGGTCAAACCGGGTGGCTCCTTGGAGGCAAGGATTCTGAGGCTTCGTCTAACATACTTTAGTCGGACATGTTGTGAGGAGAGACCGGTCCTTGGAGAAGGACATCATGCTTGGGAGGGTGGAGGGACGGCGCAGGAGAGAAAGGCCTTCTATGAGGTGGATTGATTTAGTGACTGGGATAATCGAGATGGGAGTGTCAGAGACAGTGCGATTGGCACAGGACAGAGCAGACTTTAGGGCTGTTGTACATAGGGTTGCTATGAGTCGCAAGCGACTCGATGGCACATAACAACATCTGTGGATCTGTCAAGGAGTCCTAGTGGTGCAGGCTGGTGGTTTGGCAGTGTGAACCCAACAGCAGCTCCAGGGCAGAATGTGGCAGGCTGTCCCCTCTGAGGATGCATAGCCTGGAGGCAGTCCCATTCAGCTGCTATAGGATGGAATGGACTTGAAGGCAGTGGCTGAGTATGTTTGAACTTTTCCATAATAAAAGGTTAAAAAAGGAAAACCCACTCTCTCTCCTGTCAGGCTGCATGTAGCAGTGGGAGACACTGCCCATTTTGCTCCCTCTCAGTGGGCAGCTGTGTGTTCAAACCACAGGGAGGCTTGGCTTTCGGGTCAGCAGTGCAGCTCCCCACAGACCACACACCCAGCAAGCAGCTGTCATGACTACAGGGGCAAGCGAGACTCCTCCTCCTTCCTGGACAATTCAGTGTCAAGAGAGTGATGGCTAATGTGTCTCTGATGTCCTTTCTTGTTTGTCTTGTTTGTTTGACCTTATTTTAAATATCCTTTTTCTGGAGGGAGCTGCAGGACAGAGAGACACAGCGTCTGAGGCCCCTGAATGTGGTGAGGAAAGCTCCTGGGCGCAGAGCTTAACAGGAAGTTGGACATTTGATCCACTCAGGGGCACCTTGAAGAACTCAGACCCTGTGCAGGTGCCCTGCTGGCTGTGAGAACCCCTCAGGCCCTAAAGCGCCTGGGTGCTGGTGGGGAAAGGCAGGAGAGGCAGCAGAGGCCAAAGGGGCTCAGAACAGTGGGTGCAGGCTCCCTGGGGAGAATGCAGGGAGCAGGCCTGGCAGCCTGTTCTTTCTTCTGTTGTCTGCCTGGTCTTTTCATAGACCACTGGAAGAGACCTCTTTAAGAGGAATGGGAGTGGAGAACAATTAGGATAAGAAAGAGGGGCAAATTTAGCAGGAAGCTGTGGACAGCAAGGTACACGCTCCCTCATTGGAGCTCAGCTGGTCTTCCTGTCCCAGGTGTGGACAGTGCTCTCAGCAATGACTTGTGGCCCAGACAGAACCGTCTCCTCGAAGCTCCGGTGGCTGCACCAAAGTCGCCATTCTGAATGTCTGGGGCTGTATCACCAGCTGTCAGCATCTGGGGTTGAATCTACTCAGTGAAATGAAAGAGAAACAGAATTGCTGCTGCTGTCACACTGTGAGATGTCACTCGGTCAGCTCTGATTCACACCGACCTTACATGCAGCAGAATGGAACGTGCCTGAGCCTGTGCCAGCCTCACGGTCACTGCTGTGTTGAGCCCAGTGTCACAGCCACGGTGTCAATCCATCTCATTGGCAGTCTTCACCTTTCGCCCACCCTCTACTTCACCAAGCCTGTTGTTGTTCTTCAAGGACTACCCTTCTTGATAATGTGACAGAAGCGTTCTGGTTGCAGTTCTAAGATCAGATTGCTTTGTTTTGCTGCAGGCTATCACACGTGGCAGCTGAGCTTGACCATGGAAAGCGTCACTCACTGGTCAGCTGTGGACTGAGGATGCATATCTTAGTCAGCATGGTGGGAGTTAGCTTTCTAGAACACGTTTTGATGTGAAAATGCTATAAACCACATCCCAAGCACAAATCAAACCAATTTCCAGCTGACTGCCTCTCTATGTCATGTCAGATCCACATAATAGAGAAGACTTCAAATACCAACAATGTCTGAACCCACGAGCTTAGCAACAAGCTCTAGGTTAATTCCCCAAGGAAGACAAAAGACAGATTTAGATGATACAGGCATAAGCAGACCTTAAAGATACACAATGCTACTTAAGGCCCCTGGGATCTGTCAACAAGTCTGTAAGTGCTGGCTCTAGGTAGCAAGCAGGTTCAGGCAAGAAAGTGACTACAGAAGTAAATCTAATCGTGTGAGAGTTTTAAAAATTACTCCCTCACCATAAAACATGTATTGGACATATTTCTATTTTGGAGACATACTTAGGTGTCTTAGAAGGTTAAAATCTTGGTTCCATTAACATTCCCCAGAGTCTGAAGCTTATTAAGTTTCTCAAACCTTGACATATACTGCGAAGGTTAGAGAGATGTGAGGATGAAGTGCCTAACAGAGCCTGGTACATGGCCAGCAACAAAATCCTAGTTGGTGTTAAGTGCATTGAGTCAATTTTCATTCCACAGTGACCCCATGTGAGCACAGAATTTCCCCATAGTGTCTCCTAGGCTGCTGTCTTCATAGAAGCAGGTCCCCAGGTCTTTCCTCTGGAGAGTTTCCAATACTAACTTTCAGTGAACAGCCAACTGCTTACCTGTTGCATAATCAGGTTTCCTTAATAGGAGGAAGATGTAAAATGTGCAATTCATAGTCTCCATAGCCCCCTTCTATGAGAACAAAAGAATTGGATGGTGCTTGGCTACCATTATTGAACGTTTTTATAAAAGATTCCCAAGGAAAATTTTTATCAAAAGGGGGGAAATGCAGGAAAGAACCTAAAATTTTCAAGAAATCCAGACTTTTCCTGAGACTACTGCTCTGATATAATATTTAAATCTTAAACCAAAAATACCTCCCAAAATTTTTTAAAACTGACAAAATTAACTTTTAGGATTAGATTGGAAACTTAGGAGACAGTGAGTTTATGTTAATGGTAGAAGTAGTTAAAGTCAGAAAGGATTCCAAACAAGGAGGCCCCTACCTATGGCATAGTAGCTTAAAACTGCTCTGCCTGGCTCCTTCTGGGTCCAAGGGTGGAAGCAGTGGGAATGACTACATTCACAAACCTGCTGAGGGAAGCATGGGGGGATTCTGGGGCCATGCACCATAGTGAGTTCTTCAGGGCTCAGTTATACCAGTCAAGAGACAGGGGGATCATTTGGACTCAAGAGAATTAAGGCAGTCAGTCTTACTTTGATGATGAAGTCTAACAATTGGGTCATTTTGACTCTTGGTGACTCTCTAGGACAAGGCAGAACTGCCCCACTGGGTTTCCTAGGCCTATGTGGCATAGCTGTAAGGAACTGCCCTGCCAAGCCAAAGGCACATGGTTTGAACCCACCAGATGCTTCTCAGGAGAAAGATGGGCAATCTCTCCCTGTGTGATTTACTGCCTCTGAAAACTCGGGTCGTCTATGGGTCAGTTCCGACTCAACAGTACACAACAAACAAGAATCTTTACAGAGCTCGGTAAAGAGTGTGGCACACAGTGCTTGCTGACATTTATGCGTGGATTGGACGGAGCCCTGTGCAGCAGAGTGACAGCTTCCCACAGAGGAGAGGAGTGCCTACGGCCAGAGCCCCCATCCAGCCTGGCCGGGCCATCAGGTCTTCTCTCCTTTGAGGTGGCTGGTGGTGGGTCTGAACCTACTCCAGACCTTTCTGTTAGTAACTGATGGTTAACCATCATGCCACCAAAGCTCCTTGACAGTTCGGGAGGGAGCTCCCTTTCCCCGCTGCTGGGTCAGAAACGTGAGATCTAAGAAAACAAAACAAGGTAACGGAAGGACCATCCAGGACTCAAGGAAGGGACTTGTGGTGGGTTTATGATTCGATAGTCCTACTTGGGAAACAACTCTTAAAAACTCAGATTGGACAGGAAATTTTTATTCTCAGTAAATTTCTACACAGGAAAACAGGACAACCATGTAAATATTTACCTTATTAAGAAATCATTCTCCTTTCTAGAAGAGACTGCCCTCAGAGAAACCTCCCGACTACTGACGGCAGCTCAGTTTATGCACCAGCCGAATCATTAAATGTCGAATGAGCTTTCAGGAATGCTCTCCGTTCACTATCAATATGGAAAATGACTCAAATTACCTGCAATTTACTCAGCTGCTCTGGCAAACTCGCCTCGCTTTGGCATTCATGAGACAAATCGAGAGAGAGGAAATCGACCGAGTCCTAGAAAGAAATAAGCAAACAGTGCCATTAAAGCATAAGCAATTTTGAGACAAAAAGCTGTGCAAAAATGTTCTTTCCTATTTCAACCCTTATTATGAAATTGAATTTTCCAAGGTGGGGTTTCCTGAGCAGAGCAGTCAGGGAGGAGCTGGGATGAAGTAAAGTTGTATGTGTGCATGTTGGAACACATCCTCTACAGGCTCAGTGCTGTGTGTGGTGCAGTGAGCTGGACATGGCTGCGTGAAGGGACGAGGCCCTGTGTGAATGGATAAGGCCCTGCGTGAACGGCCAAGCTCATGCATGAACAGACGAGGCCCTGCGTGAACGGCCGAGGCCCTGTGTGAACGGACAAGCCCCTGCATGAACAGATGAGGCCCTGTGTGAATGGACAAGGCCCTGCACAGCGCTGCAGTGACCTCCCAGCAGCAGAGAGGAGCAACAATCAACCCTCTTCTTTACGGCCACCTCGCTTTCCGCCAGGACACAAGGTGGCGTGTTCAGCCACCCTCACACTCCACTGTGATAACTGTGGATCATACTGGGTTTGGGGTTTTCCTTTTCATTTCAGGCCACAGTTTGAACATTCATCCTCCTCGCTGGCCTCATGGTCCTGCTTGTATACAACCTTCTCATTTCCTTCTACTCTCCACAACACAAAGAACTTCAGACTCAAATGTCTAAACATGAAGTCATCAGTGTGGGTCATCACAGTGCTTCCTTCAGTCATCACTGCTTCCTTCAGAAGCTAGCTGCTCCATTAACATTCTGTCAGGGGTGGATCATGCTGTGGATAATGACAGTGAGGACTGTGTGCACTGTGGACCTTCAGAAATTGATTCACGCTGGCTCCTTGTCAAGTTACAGGTACTGATTAAATGCTCAACATGCTCCCCCCACTAGCTCTGCTCTGATGGACCCAGGCGCTCCCCTCCTCACCCACTTCAGCTCTTGCATTTGTTTGTCAATTCTATGCAGCACGAAGCCATGGTGTTCCTACTTTTGAAAGTCACTGTGTTGGATACTGCTGGGGAGTCACATGTAAAGATGAGTAATATGCCCTCTGCTCACAGCAGCAGTTTTCACAAAAGCCCAAATGTGGAAACAACTGAAATGTCCATCAGCAGGTGAAGAGAGAAACAAAATGTGCACATACAGTACTCAACCATGAAAAGGAATTAAGGAGCTTGATGCTAATTTCCAGGACGGACCTGGAAAGCATTCCACTGAGTGAAATAAGTCAGCACCCAAAGAAATACTGGAAGAGCTCACTTACCTGAAATGAGCAGATGTGTAGAAACTAAAGTTGCTTATTAGATACCAGTGGGAGAAGTTACCAGGGGAAGAAGTGTTTGCTAAGGGTGCACTTAGTTTATATTTTTTTTTTGCACTTAGTTTATATTAAAGGCTGCCAGAATGATATGCTGGTTAGCATAAAGAATGTACTCAAATCAATGTCACTGAATTATGTATGTAGTAATTGTTGAGTTGGCAAATTTTTTGTAAGTATGTTTCACACACATATGCATAAAAGATGAGCAAGATCCACAGAAACTTAGCATTTAACAGAGAGTGTTGGGTAAACAGACCAGTTACAGCAGGAGTCCACAGGAAAAGGATGGGCAATCTCCTCCCTTACAAAATACCGCCTTGGAAAACCCTCTGGAGTGTCAGCTATGAGGTTCTGACTCGAAGGTATTCAACAACATCAGAATAGGCAGGCAGAGGTGCTCAAGAAGTCTAAACTTGTGCCTCTCCAGCTTTGGTGGGTGCCACACCTGCCTTCTTTTTGTTTTTTCTAGTTAAAATCTTATGTGAGCTTTGTAATCACAAAATGTTGGCTATAAGTCAAGTTTAACAAGTTTAAATGTATAAAAAGCAGGCTTTTAGCATAATAAACTAGAGCTCTCTACATCATCCTAGTGTGCAGACTCTCATTTT